TCAAACAAACACTGCACAACTAGTGTAGTAAAATTCCCAAACAATTTTTTTAAATACATCAAACACACACTGCACAACTAGTGTAGTAAGATTCCCGAACAAATTATTCTAATGAGTCAAACCTTTTTAATAAGTCAAACACACATTGCACAACTAGTGTAGTAAGATTCCAGAACAAATAATTCTAATGAGTCAAATCTTTTTTAATAAATTAAATGCATGCTGCACAACTAATGTAGTAAGATTCTCAAACTAATTATTTGAATGAGTCCGATGTTTTTATAGTGTAGTCCAATTCCCAAACATATGATTCTAAAGAGTCAGTTCTTTTAATGAATCAAGCACGCTCAGTTTACAGCTTGTAAGACTTAAATCAGTTCAATTACTGACTGTTTATGACAACATGTGGTTAAAGATACACATTATGAATAGTGACCAGAAACCTTTAAGTAACCAGAATGATTAAAAGGAATATGAAACAGAATAATTTCATTATTTTTGGTTTCCATTACTAATTATAGATCAATGAATACGAGCCACAGGACAATGTCAACATGGTGGATGCAGTATATCTGGTAATGTATTCATACTACACATTAATGGTTGATAAGTTCAAATTCAGTACATACTATGAAGCAACAGGAATTCAAGCGCAGCCATAGAGTCAGAAGAAGGAAAAACAGAGTGTCAGAGAGTGAAGAGAGAACAGTTTGTCTACAGTCTCCTCAAACTCAGAATTCATGGCACAGATATGACAAGAAACAGAGACAGTTGAATCAGGCACACAGAGATGGAAGAGTGAGTCCTGACATAAAGCTATCCAACCCTGACGCACCACTCTTACTTAAAGGCACACTTTGATGTATCTATAATTACTACATACTGCCTTCGAAAAGAAATCGAATTTCAATGAAAAGAAAGAGAGGGAGAGAGAGGCAACATGCTGGAGACATTAATCCGCCTGTGTTTGATGTGCCTGATCAGAAACATGTTTGTTAGGAGTTAAAGGGAGCAGTAATTAAGCCACAGACGGCCTGTTTTCAGGCAATCTGCTATGACCGGCCCTCTCATTAGATAGGGTTACAGTCAATGAAATGTACAGATGATTTGAGTTCTTGTTAGTGTAATGTTAAATGAATGAATGAATGAATAAATAAAAACTAAAATAAATACTAATTTTATTCAAGTTTCGCTTGAGGAGTTACCAGTGCATTTACAAAACTATAAAAAATAATATGTCAAACAGCTGAAACGATTAAACAATTTTGACTTGAGATGTTATACAACATTATTCATGAGATCTATACAGATAATATGTGTTTTTGACGACTAAGTTCAGTCCTCCAGTCATCCAATTCATCAGAATATACCTGCCACTCATTACCAGAGATTACCAAACCAATGAAAGGCATAAGCATGGTTTGTATATGAAATAGTGTGTATAAGTGAGCATTCCGTCTATGTGTGTGTGTGTGTGTTTGGAAATGAGAAAAGGGGGGAAAACAGGGATGCATCAGAGAAAGGTGGCTAAACAGATCTCTGGAGGAAGACCGCCATGCTTCCACCAGCGAGGGGCTGTCACGGCCACAACGCCACATAAATATTTAACAGTTATATTCAAATTACGAAACACAGAGACTCCTGCCTCAGATAAAAACACATATTCCTGGAATTATCAGAGGAATGCTAAATCGTGGCCATCCGTTCCACGCTCCCTTTTCTCACTTTAAAAGAAAAGAGGAACGGGTTCATGAAAAGGTGTAGGAGTGTGTGTGTAAGAAAGAAGAAAGTGTGTGTTTATGTTAGGTCAAAGGTTAGCCAGAGTGCTCCTGGGGAAGTTGTCCTTACAATGCACACACCTAGACTAGAGATTGAGACAAGCTACCTGACCTTCGACCCCAGAGGTGATGTAACACAGGGTACATAGCTGAAAACTGTTCACGAGGTTCAGGTAAAAGGTTAGTTCATCAAAGAAAATGTGGTCATCATTTTCTCTTTGTGTCATTCGAAACAAGTATGACTGAATTTCATCCTTGAAAACAAAAGAGAATGATCTTAATAATCTGTGCCATATAATGAGGCATTAGCTGTCAAGGACTATATAGCACCGTAAAAGTAGCTCATAAGACTTATACATTATATTTCAAGTCTTGTAAAATCATAGAATAGATAGAAATCTTCACCTCCACTATAGTTCTCAGAAGTTCTTGCTTGAGATTGATCATGTGAAATACAACAACCAATTCCGTTTGCCATCAATGACTTCAAAACTTGTTTCAGCATATTCGGTAGGATGAAAAATGGGTTGAGAAGAAAAAAAAGTGCACATTTACAGTAAAAGAATGAAACGTGAAGCCACTAAGAACCTTTAAGCATCTAGTGCCACCATTTCCTAGACATAAAACATACCTGGAGCCTCCAGAAGTACATCTCTGGACCGTTTCAGGTGGCAGAAGAACTGAAAATCAACTCCCAACTACTACCAGTTTCTGGAAGACGCTTTCTTCAAACATTGGAACAATTTAAGAGAATACAAGAAGACAATGCTAGTAAAAAAGCTAGTTCATGCATTCATGACCTCTAGACTGGACTATTGTAATGCACTGCTAGGTGGTTGTCCTGCATCTTCAATAAACAAGCTAGAGGTAGTCCAAAATGCAGCGGCTAGAGTCCTTACCAGGTCAAGAAAATATGATCATATTACCCCAATTTTACAGTCTCTGCACTGGCTACCTATTAAGTTCCGTATCAGCTACAAAATATTATTTCTTGCCTATAAGGCCCTTAATGGGTTAGCTCCTGCGTACCTAACTAGTCTTCTACCACGCTACAATCCATCACGCTCCCTAAGGTCGCAAAACTCTGGACTTTTGGTAGTACCTAGGATAGCAAAGTCCACTAAAGGAGGTATTTGGCTCCCAAACTCTGGAATAGCCTTCCTAATAACGTTTGGGGTTCAGACACACTCTCTCTGTTTAAATCTAGATTAAAGGGAGAGTAAAGAGTCTCCTCATGCCGTGTAGTTGTTGTCATGTTGATGAAAGGCCGTTAAATGAAAGTACATGCGACAGCTATTGTCCGGAGCGGCCTGACTGCTTTCTGTTTCTCTGTGATGTTTCGTCTCTTTCTGGTGTCTCTGATCGCATTTTCTCTCCCTTCCAGCTGGAGATTTACATAACTGAGGGAACGCACTCGACCGAGGAGGATAGTGAGTGTTCATTACAACAACGAAATGTTCAAACAGCCCTCGGGCTCAGATGTTCTCTACTCAAGTGCATGAACGCACAATCTTGTTTTCATGAGTGCATTTAAAAATGCACCAGATAACATGTTGATGCACTGTATGTGTAGCTAAGAGTAGGTTTTGGGGATTTCTTTTAGGTCTAGTACTGAATGTGTAGTAAGCAGGGTGGCATGATGCTGATAGTAAACTCTATATACATTAAACTATTTAATTACAGTAAATAATACGCACACACAATTACTGAAATGAAATGCTTTCCGATTTTCATTATAAAATTCACTTAGGGTGTGTTCACACTTGTAGTTTGGTTCATTTGGTCCGGACCAAAACGGAAAATAATACATTTGGTCCTGGTCCGCTAAGCGTTCACATTGGCATTTTTGACAGCAAACCTAAAGACACCGAACCTAAAGGCATAGTGATACGTTCACAACCTGATTGGTCGGCTTGAATGACGTATATATCGTGATGGAACTCACCGAACTGTGTCTAGATTAAAGACACATCTCTTTGGCCAAGCATTCAAATAATGCATCTCATAATCTTTTACTGCAGTTATATCTGATCAAATGCACATTATTATTCTTTAGTTTGGGTTAAACAAATAAATTTTGCTTGGTTGGAACAGCTGCTACGCTAATTATGTCTCCATTTGTTTCTCTGTTTTTGCCACGGATGTAACTAGGATTTACACAAGCTTCAGTCTGGATCCAGAACACCTGAGAAGAGATGATGCCAACCCCTCAGAGGACCTCAGATGATGTCAACCCTGAAACAACATACAGAACTACCACATTTTGCTATAAGTTTGATTGCATCATATAATATTTGCTGTTAATAGTGTTCATCGTCCATCATCGTTTGATTACGTCTTTAATTGATTTTTCCGTACATTTCTGCCATATGTACATTAACTGACAGTCACCACTGATAAGCTACCACTAAATATTGTTGACCCTTAATTTGCTGTAAAGTTGCTTTGCAACAATTTGTATCATGAAAAGCGCTATACAAATAAAACTTGAATTGAATTGACAATGACCTTAATGTAGGACAATGCTCTAACCTGATGGAGATCTTCTCAAACATAAGATTTAGTGAGGGGGAAAAGTAACTATCTTTGAACAGGCCAAGAAAATGACAGATCCAACAGATGGGAGGTTCATTAAAGGCACTGAAAATAAGGATGTCTATATTGGCCCCAAAATGTTATAAATGGTCAATATGTTATTAGATTACAAATAATTATTATATGTTTTTTATTAGTTAATTATTAAAGCATTTTTTTCTATTTAAGGTTAATGGGAAAATTATGTAATCTAGTTGCCTAATAATTGCACAAATTTATTAATAAAAAAAAATTATGACCAAATTTTCTTTTTAGGGTGCATTAACCCTATTTACACAAAACATTTTTTAGACCAAATGAGAGACTATGACTTCTTTCTCTTTTCTCTCAGGGTCTGTTGTTATGCATACTTGTCTACATGCTTTAACAGAGCTGTAGCTCTCATTGCAGTTTCTCATTCTTTCTTCATCCTCCCTCCCGCTCAAGGAAGTGGATAGTGCCTTAGGACAAGGATGAACTGGTTTGTTTACAAAAGCAGCACTTTCTCAAAGAAACTAAGTGTTATTTATTTTTAATCATTTCGCTCTCTCTTCTGCTGCTTTTCCCACCGGTGAAGACAACTGTGTGTGTGTTGAGGGAGTGGGGGGGGAGGGCTTTTCATAATAATAACCTCTAACAAATACTTACCAAATTCACAAATGACAAGCCGCCATAGCTGTGTGCCACGATGAGGACGTTTTTCGCAAGTGATTTAGAGATGAAGTGGTCCCACACATAGAGTGTGTGTTCCTCAGGAGTGCTGTTTTCCTGTAAAGACAAAGTGGGAATAACTGAAGTTAAAGGGGTCTTATAATGAGAAATAGAATTTTCCTTGAAATTTTAAAACAGGAGTTTTAAAGGGGCTACAAGGGAGTGCTTGAGGGTCCATGGAAAAGTTTAGAGATATACAGGGAAATAAATAAATAAGATAAAAAAAAAGATTAAAAGTTGATATATGTGGATACCCCTTTTAATGAACTCACTAATATTTTAATCAAAATGTAGGCCTATATTTACATAAAATAAAAACGGTAAAATATACAGAATATACGATCTACTAAAACACATTTTATTTTTTTTAAAATAACAAAGATTTGACCTTTAAGTTAGCCTGAAGACAGCACCCATAAACTCACACACAGCCACATTCACACAGTTAAATATATCTTACTCAATCAATGAATCTTGCATACTGCAAATGCCTCCAATGCAAAACTCAATAGATTGTGTGACGTCAAGTTTAAATCTTAATTTGTACCCCGCTGACTGATCAATACGGCGTCTATAGGAGCGATAAACACATAATCGGCCTACATGGGAAGGTCACACAAGCAGGGCACAAACACAACACTCGTAATTAACACTGGCCTGGGGTTATAACGCTCTACGAATGTGAGGCGAGAGAGAGAAAGAAGAAAAAGGGCATTCATTCATTCACTGGCGCATGCAACATCGATCTGCGTGTTTGTTTGCAAATACGGCAATCGTTTAAATGTAGAATAACAACTAAATTAGAGGAAAATCGCTAGCAACAACTGAGTGAACGTGGGTGTCGGTGACATAAAACGGCGAATATGGCAGCTATACAGCTGCATGATATAAAGAGCTGGCCTTATCGCAATCAGCTCCTGAAAGTTTGCAGCCTTGCCCTGAGTTTAGCCTCTCTCTCATGATCTTGCATCAGCTCTCCCACATTGATTAGCTTTTTGAAAAGCACAATAATAAGTGAATTAGAGCTGAAGGAGCTGGCAGGAGGGAAGAGATTTCCTGTCACCGAGATGGCTTGTGTTGGCGAGGGGACACAGATATGAAAGTAAATAAACAGGCTGGTGGGAGGGGGGGGGTTACGGCGTGATGCAACTGGCAGAAAGCGCTGAGCCCAGATCTCCTTGGACGGCTGGGAGGTGGGTGCAGGGCGGTGAAAACGGGGACGAGTCTGCATGTCTTTCTGTCGCACCCTCAGACATCAAAGCGTTTTGAAGAACCAAAGCTGAGTCATCATCACAGTGCAGCGCATTTCATATTCATAAAGCTCTCAGTGCTCACACACGCAAGCCAGGACACATGGCCAAAAAGAGATGTAGTGGCCAGTAATTCGTTTATATCCACTCACTAAATAAAAGTCCCTGGTCTTATTGTATCTTATTGATGTAACCAATGCCATGCGGGCAGGAAAACACAAAAAGTGGCAGGCACAAGTCAGTAGAGTCCACCCTTAAGTCTATATACTAACTAATTAAAAGAGGCAAAATACTATTTTAAATAATACACTTACACAATAAGATATGCACTTATACAACATACAGTATGCACAGATGTGTGACAGCGCTATTAAACATACATTAAAAGTCACGTAGCATAAAAGCTAAGGTAGCTTTTGGTTTGCATGTAGACACTTGTTGAGGCTATTTTTTCAGTTCAGCCTTAAAAAACAAAACAAAATAAAAAAAAAAACAACAACAACAACAGAACAGAACAGAACAGGGGGAGTATTCCAGAAAGCAGGTTATGTGACATACCCAGGTATGTTTAAGTGTAAGTAAGCGGATAAACTCAGCTTTCGGTTCCAAAAACGGAGGCAACTTTCAGGGTATGTAAGTAGCCATAGCATTTGACGAGACTCCAGTGGGTGTGACAGATACCGAAAATTTGATGAAAATACATATCTGATATGACTTATTATATAATATAATTAGCATCAAACAAACAATATAATTCTTATTCTCAAGGATTAAAGATTAAACGGAGAATAAAAAGAGAAAAATGATTGCACAGCCACCTGTTAGGTGGCGATATGAACCAAATATGCAAACGGCATTTGAACAAAAGAAGAAGAAAGAAGACGCATGGCGTGGTTTTTCTGAGCGTTCGTTTCCATAGTGACTCGTCGATTCGTCACTCTGTTGAGAATGTCTTGCATGTTAACCAGGAACATACTCGGTGTTGAATGAACTTACTCCCGGACGCGTTTTTGGAACCAGCATACCTCGAGTAAGCAAGGTTTGGGTTAAGCAACCGAAAGTTCAGGGTTTGGCAGATGGTAAGTTAACCTTGCTTTCTGGAATACACCTCAGAACAAAACAAAACAAAACAAAACAAAACACAAAGCACTAGGGATGTAACAATTCACTCAACTCACGATTCGATTCACGATTTTGATTTCACGATTCACAATTTATTTATTTTTTTTACAAAATGAGATTTAAGACAAATTATAAATTAAATGTGTCCTTTTATTATTGCTTGGACAAAATGCTGCACGTTTCTTTCTGAAATTGAAATATAACACTATAGTAATATACTAATAGCACTTGCATATTAACCGATTTGAATCGTCACATATTTTAATGGATTTTCAACCGGCTCGCGGTTAATCGTTACATCCCTACAAAGCACACAAAAGAAAACAAAAGAAAAAAACAAAACACAACAAAAAACAACAAAATAAAATAACAAAAAATAAAATATTTGCTGTAATTTTCATGACTGTTTAAAAAAAATGTTTACACAGAAGTTACAAATTACAAATGCAATTACAAGAGTGCATCTTGGAAGGTTATTTTATAGTGAAGCAAACAAACTGAACGTTATGCTGTTCTGTCTGTGCATAAGTGTGTGTTTTTTAATAAATGAAGTCTCCACTATTGCACAAGGGTGATGCCACACAAAACCAGGTAACATCCCCCTCCCCTTATCACCCCGGCACAGAGTCTGACACCTGGCCCATACGTACACACAAGCACATACAGACCACCGACTCCCTCCAACCCTTCCCCTATGATTGACTACCTCCTCTGATAGAGCCCACACTTATCTAAACAGCATTTGCATATTTGTGTAATTATTTCCTAGGGTTAATTAGCTCCTGCGAAACAATACATCCGTAGAGACCAGTTCCTGGTGACAGGTTCACCCTCTATCTCTCTCTCTCTCTCTCTCTCTCTCTCGCTGTCAGCCTTCATCTCATCCATGCATGCACAAGACCTGGAAGACTCCCAGAGTGTGCAGACCTGTTGCACATGTCTCAATGTTTCTGAATACGTATGGATGTAACTTTCTGCATCGCTAGCATCACCAAAAACAATTGCAAAAATAATGACAAGATCCTCAAACGCTCTCTTTGTCTCCCATTGCATGGACAAACTGAAAGTCAACCTATGTATGCCATAGTTATCAATGACTGCATATTAAGCTAGGATTTAAAATAAATAAATGAATAATTTCAGTTTTAAAATGTATACATTCTCACGATCATTCTCATGATCATTATTTATTAATGCATTAATATTAATTATATTTATTTAATTCTAGAGATTTTGCAATGAACTTAAATATCATGCAGAAAGAAAGAAAGAAAGAAAGAAAGAAAGAAAGAAAGAAAGAAAGATTGAAAGAAAGAAAGAAAGAAAGAAAGAAAGAAAGAAAGAAAGAAAGAAAGAAAGAAAGAAAGAAAGAAAGAAAGAAAGAAAGAAAGAAAGAAAGAAAGAAAGAAAGAAAGAAAGAAAGAAAGAAAGAAAGATTGTGAATAAAATTAGTTATAGACAGAGTGCATAAAGATTGTGAATAAAATTAGTTATAGACAGAGTGCATCATGTCACACTGTAAGACACTGCCGTTGCACTGCAGGTTTTTTTCAAGCTGTTAAACTATTTTAACTGTTGCCAATGGTTAGTTGCCCACATGCTAGTTTCCAGGTAAACACATAAATTCTTATTTAAGGCTGAAAATCTCTCTTTCTATTATGCAGAGTCAAGACTTAGTTCAAGACTAAGAAAATTAACATGGAGTAAATCCACATAAATATTCAACGTCTTCACTGGCTGTTTGGAACAGCATACTAACATACTGTACTTTTGCTAAACAGTATATATATATATATATATATATATATAGCACTGTATGCAGTTTTCTATATGCAGACAAACAATATCCGGATGACTCACCACAGTGCATTTGCCTAAACGTACAGAAGACAAACTGCTCTGGATATTGTATCCCACAATGCAAGGAGCTCATATTGACCTTCTACTTCCAGTGTGACAAATTAACATAGCAATAATTAATAAATAAATATTTAGATATCACTTTTCACACACAAGTAACATCTGCCACATTTTGTCCACCACCTATTTTTTGCCTATTTAAAACTGGATTTAGCTCCACGGGACTCAATAAACTGTAAACTGACATTTTTAAGGTAATTCAAATATGTAATTCAAAAAAAGTCATTAACAAAACTTTTTCGTTTTCTTCTTCTTCTTATCATATTTCACTCCATATTGCTCATTTTAATGTTTTTTTTTTTATCACAGCAAGACAATCTCACATCTCACTTGAAATTGCTTACAAAAATAAAACAAAAATAATAATAATTAGATAATTGTATATTCACAGGCAAAATCCAACTTAATAATGTCGATCCACTAAAAATGAATGAAAGTCCTGTCAAACCACATGCCATGTCAACAGCACATGTACATTATGTGACCACATGCATGTCTGTCAGCGTAAACGTATCTCAATTGACAGACTGCGGTTTCCTCAGTTTCACCTCAACAACATCTGTCATTATCTGTTATAACAGCGCACTATTTGAGTTTTTCTCTTTTCCTTCTCTTATCAATTTAATACACTTCTTGGAAATACTCCACACAATCTGAGCAAAGTCGTTTGGAGGTGTCCCACACTCTGCAAACCCCTTGAATTGGCATATAGGATGTGAGCACAGCTTCTAAAATAAATTCTTCCTTTTTTGCAGCATGACAGAT